CATATGAAAATACTCAACAGCTAAGAATTTATGACTTATGTCCTGAACCGTAGTAATTTAATTTAAGTCAATATAGCAGGTAACCCGTGACTATAGCGATCACTTCTAGTTCTGGGTCAGATTGCATTGACAATTAAATGAACTTCAAAAGATGATCCCCTACTCCAAAAGAAAGCCATAGCCCCCAAATCTCAACGCTCTTGCGTCACAAATGTTGACAGTTGATAGAAGGCACCATGAAACTCTTAGGAAGTATCTGTCAACACTTATGACTTTCAAAAAGTAAGGGACTGCCTCGAAAGCCCCCCAAACTCAGCTCTTAGCCTTTGGACATGTAGAGAGGAGAGAAGAAAAGCGCCCCGTCCGTCCTAACTCTCATTCACCACAAATATTGATTTCGAAAAGGGCACCTCGTAGCCTTTGAAAATGAATTCTCAACTCTTAAAATGTTGATGCCTAATAACTTATGAAAGAATAGATATCGATAACTAATAGAGTATCGTACACTGAAGTCCAAATACCCGTCCAAATACTTTACACTGAAGAGTGGTCGAATTCACACGGAAACTCAACCACAATATTGGAACAGTCGAGAAGGGAGAAATTCGATGACTCTAACTATCAACTTTTATTCGTCAAATATGTTGTGAGTTCAAACAGGGAAATATATACCCGCAAAAAATGAACTCTCAACTCTTGGTAATGTTGCTTCAGAGAGTACTTACAACGCCCGAAAGTGATCTCTTAACCGCGATATATGTGTTGAGAACTCAGAGAGCCCACAGAACCTACCTACCCTCCCTCTCCCCAAAAAACTCCCAAAACTGCAGTCTCAACTGTGAAGAATCTTGAGAGTTCACAAACCACACAAAAAACCGATTTCCTCCCCACCCCCAAACTCTCAAAATTGAAATCTTGACTCTTAAAAATATGGACATTTCAGAGAGCACATGAGACTTCCCATCCCCCTATCATACCCCGCCTAAACTAATCTCTTAACT